GTGCAGGATAGTCAGTCCAAACAGTCCAATTTGAAAAAGCATGGCCTTTTTTTTTAAAAAGCAATCATTAAAAAAGCATTCGAGGAAAAAGAAAATGTCAGAACTGGATTAGGGATTGATTTTGCGTGCAGTTACTTGGCTGTGCCAACAAGGAAATAATTTTAGTCAGGGGGAGGGGAGGAGGAGGAAAGGTGATGCCAAGCAAGTATGAACGAAGTGGGGTTTTGTAGGTTCTTGACCTGGCTTTACTTCAGACAGCACAGCCTAACTGAGAGTGCCTTAAGTTAATGCAGTTAAGGTTGTGAACTTGAAATCCAGGTTATGCACCTTTGCCATTATTAAAGTAATTTGGCTTCAAAGCAGTGTCCATGGGCCAGTACAATCTTTGGGAGTGCATATTGGAGTGTAGGGAGTAGGAACTGGGATGCAGAGGCAGCGTATGTTTGTTTGACTTCTGCCTACGTGTTATTGGTAGAACCAGTCCTGAACATGGCAGTTCTTGGGTGGGGATTGATTGCAAATTCAGTTATCAGAATTTAGTACCTGCTTTAGATACTTACGTCACTGTGCTCAGAAGACATCTAGTCAGTACAGCTTAGTGGACTCTAGAGAAATATTCAATCATAGGGTCACTAGGTGTCCACTTAAAGATTAGATGAATCACTTCCAAAATGTCTCAGCTAGGACAGGAGTTTCACTATGTAGATCACATATAGACCCCCACATTCAGGTTTCTTAATCTCATGTTTCATCTCTTGGGCTTCTCTTGTCCATTAGAGAGCCTATATTTTATAAGAGTTGCTGAAATAAATTGTGAGATCCATTAAAAAAAAAGAAAATAATAAAAGCGCAAAACTTATTTTTGAATTATGGAAGACCTCAAATATCTGACTCTGTTGAGCTCATTAGAGAGAAGACAAGGAGATCTTTTATAGATACTTCCACAAGGAGATAAAAGTACCCACCAAAGCAAAGTGCCAACACGCCTGAGAGGATCAAAATGTGGTTCTATATGAAGGCCAGGTACCTTTTTTCAAAGAAGTGCTTAAGCCAAACATGAAATGCTGAGCTCAGAGTATGATATGTATGGGCAGTGATATATAGGATGGAGGGGTAGATATTCTTAGGAGACATCTTGAACTGTAAATTTTGCTTTTGCATTTTTGTCTCGTCAGTTTTCTTAAATGACTTCAAATGGCTTAAAATTTGTTGTAACATTTCTAACATTATGTAAATAGTATAGTTTCTGCAAAAAAGGGAAAGGTTTATAGCTTGTGGTACATGTATGACTTCTAGCTTTTCCAGATTTTTGTGGGTTTTCCTTAGTTTCTTCACTTCGCATTAAGTGGATTTCAGTTGTGTTGTCATGGTAGAGAAATACCTTGTTCTTCCTAGATCAAGACCTGTTTGAGATAGAAACTCCAAGATACCACTCTCAGCACCTGTAAGAATTATGAATATGTAGGTCATCAGAAGATGAAGGGAGAGCACATTTCGCAAGTGACTGTGCTGATCAGAGTGTTCACTTCCCCAGAGGGTTATAGGAGGGTTTGCTTACTACAGTAAGACAGGAGATTTCCTGAGGAAAAATAAGCCCCAGTGAATAGACTGACTGACTGAAGCATGAGAGAAGACTGTCAGGACTCTTGCAAGCAAGGGGATGACTCCAACAGAAACTGCATGGGCTTTTCTGTACTCTAGAGCATGTGCAGTCTGTGAGTGGGAGATTTCTCATTTTCCAGGGAAGCTGAACCAAATCTGAAGGTGGATATTGGACAACATAGCTCCATTTAGAAGCAAATTAAATTTCTCCATCCAAGTTTTTCAGTCTCGGTAGCTGTTCATCTGTTGTCTTTTGTGTAAGGTGGCCTTGTTTCCACTACTGTGCAAATAGCTATAAAATGTAATTAATCAGCTCCTATTCATTTTTTTTTTAATTTGGCTATTCTTTTCTGCACAGTCCTTACCAGAAGACTTTAAAATGCTAAAATTAAGAAATACAAAGATGCTATTTTTAAGGGCCGTATTTCTTTTAAGTAGGGAAATCTTACCTACTTAGCTTTCTGATGCAATTTTCAATGGTAAGCTGCTTCTGCTAGACAAGGACTAGATACCCAGTCATGAGAGTTTCTTGCTGTGCAAACAGAATGCCTGCTCACTGCCTGTCTCCAGAGAGGAGAGCAGTCAGACTACTCATGTTATCATCAGCCTTGATTATCTCAGATCCTCCAGCTTGCATGCACTGAACCTACTAGAAGTTGGGGCAGTCTCCAGCTGAAGAGGTTAGTTGTCTCTTGTGAAACTCAGGAGCTAGAACCTTTACCTTACCTCACGCAGTAACTACAGGATTATAGTCTGCAAGTGGTTGTGTCTGCCTTTCAGGCTACTTCATTAAGAGTTAATTTATATGCAAGTTTGGTTTTCCAAAAAGACAACACACATGACTGATCCACCCTATCATAAATTTTTATAATGATAAGGTGGTGCAGGCTCATCTAAAATTCCTTCCAAAGGCGGTGTCAAATTTTTACTTTAGTCATCCTAACCATCTTTTCCTTCCCTGTATTTTCACTGTAGCGAGGCTTTGTTTACGTGAGCTGGATCCTAATAGTTCTTCTCCCACTCCCACCCCTACCGGCACTTTGCAACAAACTTAAGTTTGGTTTTTTGTTTGTTTGAGTTTTTTATTAAGAAGCATTTATTTTCCTCAGAATACTTTTCCTTGAAGCAGCTTCCCTCAACACTTCAGGTTTGCAGCTGATGGTGTGAGGAGACAGAAGTACTTCAGAAACTGCTTTTTTCTAACTGTCTGGGAGATGATGGAGGGAGAAGGCAGCAGGCATATAAAGCAGATTTGGGAGTCAGTTGTCAGAAGGAGGGAACGAACTGCAGTCTCTATTTGCCGATGAGGATAAAGGTGAGGGAGCCTTTAGAAATTAGCTGGCGTGTGGATGGCCGACGGGCTTGGCTTAGGCAACAAGCAGTACTGGGGAAAACAGTGATCAAAACAGGAGAAAATTTTGGAGGAGGTTGGGAATCTTTGTTTCCTTTCTGCACATCCTGTAGTAAAACCACCGTTTTAAAGAACACTGGAAAAGTAGAAGGTAGAGGAGGGCTGATGGCAGCACTGGTGAGGAGTCAGGTTGCTTTGTTTTGCTTTGTGCTGACATCACCATGTGCATAATTGATCCAAGTGAAATATCATGCGCTTCTGCTGCCACCTTACCTCCTCGTGATGAAATCTAGGTAAAATGTTTGTGATCTGCTGTATGTATCTAGAAGGTCAAACAGCATGATGCCATCAACACCTTAACGCGTTTATGAGCAGCGTAGTGCTTATGCAGCTTCCTTCAGAGCTCCTACCCTGTATCTACCCTATAGCTATTTTCCTTAATAGATTTGTGAGACCCTAGAATGTGTTTTCGCAATCTATGAGATGCAAGGCTGTTACACTGCTAAATCTTCTGTCATGAGCTAAGATCTTGCCTAGAGCCGAAGACTAAATTGTGCTGATTCATACAGTTGTAATGCATAAGGTTTTGCGCTTTGGTCAGGTGAAAATTAGGCTAAAGTCAGAGAAGCCTCAAGAAAAAAAAACAGATACAGGGGAAAAGGTTGCACTTGAGTTTTGGCTTTAGAGCATGTGTGTGGGCTACCAGAAGCGCAAGAGGAAATGCGACATTTCATAGACACTTCCACTGAAAGTGTTTTGAAAATCCAGGGAGCTCTCTGGGATCCGACCTCAGCTGATGTGTTGCTTAGCTTTTCCAACTCGACACACAGATAAAGGGACAAAAGTCTTTTTTCTGTAATACACACATTCTCTCGACCCAGTAGTCACTAATGCATTTTTGGCATCCAAAAAAACAGACATCCACAAAATTCAGCTGGAATCTATTTGTGTGTCTTATGCAATAAAGAGGTGGCACCTCTACAGTCCATAAAACACAGACCTTTTAGAAAATACTGCAATTTTTAAGGAATTTGCTAATAGTACAGGAATTCAGTGGTGAGCTAGAATTTCAGTTGTCTGGGTTTTGTACAGGGTGGGTTTCTTTTTGTATGTCTCTTTGTTTTCCCCCCCTTTTTAAAGAGCAGATGGGCACACACTGATTTCAGTACATACATACATACATACACAGCTGGTGTTCTGAAATAAATCTATGTGCAGGTAATGCTTTTTGTGGTGTATTCAAACTGAAAATTTGATATGAAGGGTGTGAAGTGGTCTGCAGGAGATGGGAGATTTCATTCAGAAAGTTGAGTGAGAACCCACTGTCCTGAGCAACAGAGCTTCGTTCCACATAATACCTAGTTTTCGAAGGGTAAATTCCGGTCTAGCCCAGCCATTCATCTTGTACTCTGAAGTAAACCTGGTAAAACTAGCCTTTTATGACACTTGGAATCGTGAGCATTTCCTTCTTCTTTGTAACATTTCACAATGCTACCCTTTGGGAAGAAAAAGCTCACTTTCTCTGATATTGGGTCTTCTTTTTAAACAGAATTGTATTTAGGAAAAAGTTACAAGCCTGTGTTGAAAAGTCACTATGTCAACTGTCAAGTCTTTCAACTGAAAGGCTGTCTTTCAACAGTTTCTTTTTACCTGGAGTGAAAAAACATCTCCCTGATTCACCAGGTAGCTTGGGTCCATTAAAGATTAGTTGTCTGTTTCATTAATCACCTATTGCTTTCTTACAGCATTCACAGAATAAACAAAGAAAAACACTAATGTTAGTTAACCAGTTTTGTAAAGACATTAAAGAACAAATAACTCATAAGAAAACTATAAACTGTGTGATTAGTCAAATTAGGTAATACTGTAAATTCTTCAAGTTACTTAAAAATAGTTGTTGCTTATATGTTATACCATGCATCCACTCTTAAATTTGGTAGTTATGTTTAAATATTTAAGTTTTCAATAGTGTTAAATAGTTTTATACTTGTTGTAAATTAAATTCTTCTGGCAAAGAGATTTTTATTTTGTTTCTATTGTGTTGCAGACTCTCCTACAGATTTTTGGTGTGGTGGCTGTGGCTGTGGCAGTGATTCCTTGGATACTCATCCCCTTAATTCCACTATTTATTCTTTTTATTTTTCTTCGACGATATTTCTTAGACACTTCAAGAGATATTAAACGTCTAGAATCCACAAGTATGTAGTTTGGCGCAACTTAATGTTAGCTTTAACCCTCGTCATTATTATGTGAAGCGCTAGTATTTTATAGACAATCCATCAAAGATTTTTTTTCCTTTGCTATGCAAATAACTTCCTTATTGCCTTAGTTCTCAACTAATGAATTACATGCTTAACTCCTGCTTTGCATAATGATAAACCTCGGGTATGTCAGTTTAACTATCTGTAAGTAAAGCTAGTTAAGAACATGCTAAGTTACTGGTCTTTGAGACCTTGCATGCACGTAGTAGTAGTGTTTCTGACCTAATCTGACTCTCTTGCGTGACTTAAGCTTGACTATGATATGAAATATGAAGCATTATGAATAACAAACATGGGTGCCTCCTGTCATTAATAAAGCTCAAAGAATGTGTTCAGTGACAGCTATTGTTAGAAACGTAAGACATTTTTGTATAAATTAATCTGCCTGGCTGTCTGACTGATTCTGATTAAGTAAGAGGACTTTGGTTTAAAGGTATTGCATATTTATTCTAAAATGCATTACAGTAACTTGTGTGGTTAAATATAAAGTAGTGGGATTAAAGATTAGTGTGGTACAAAAAGAATTAAATATTGTCCTTCAGCTATTGCTAAGTTACTCTCATTTCCCTTTGTAGCTCGAAGTCCAGTGTTCTCCCACTTGTCATCATCCCTCCAGGGACTTTGGACTATTCGAGCTTTGAAAGCAGAGGAAAGATTTCAAAAATTATTTGATGCACACCAAGACCTCCACTCAGGTTTGTGAAGAATTGACGTGAAAAATCAAATACTTTGCTCTGTGGGAGGCAAATATCTTATGCCCTTAGTACCATGTATATAATGCACATAAAAATCAGAAGGAGCTGTGCATTTGTCTCTTCAGGGTAAAATTTCTCTATTAGAACAAAAACGTTATTATCTTCCTAGATTTTGAGTGTTCACCTTAGGCTCTAATATAATTTGAGAAACCCACACGTATGTTTTAACAATGTCTAACATAAACAATTTAAAGTATGCTTGCTGAGAATATTTAAATATTATTTTTTGACATTTTCATGGATTCCATCTTTAAAAAGTGGAGGGTGGGGAGTAGGAGGAGGTAACAAGCTATATTATGGAGCATTTAATATTAAGTGGTGTGCTATGACTGAGCAGAGATGATTAATATAAATTATCTTGGAAAAGTTTCATAAATCTCACTTCCTTTTTACTTTGAGCAGCTTTCAGAGCTCTAATATATGGTAATAACATGACCAGAAGGTATCAAATATTAGTATTGTGCAAGCATAAGTAATATAATTCAGGTTTGCACTGTGATTCTTTACTTTTTGTCAATTAAATGTTCTTTATTACAGTGTTTTCCAAGATGCAACAGAGTACACTTCTGTCGGGGTTAGCCAACTTGTTGAATTTCCTGTCATAAGATGTACAAGTATATTCTATGGCTTTTTTGTAATTTCAGACCAGTTGATCTCTTCTGAAGTACAGTTTATGGCAGGCTGTAGAATTGTGCACACTGACTTCCATGTTGAGCCCAGTAACTTGTGACCAGGGGAAACATATGTTCCAGGGAAGGCACTTCTGGTTTTGAATTCTCGGTTTCTTAGTTTTTTTAAGTCACTAGTTATCTGACCAACTCAATTTTACAGTAGCTGATAGCACAGGAACACCAAGTGGTTTTTTAAGCTTTGTATTAAAATATATCTTTAGACTAAACTGCACATAGAAGAGGTACTTAGGGGTGCTGACAGATGAGAAGCTCAACATGAGCCGACAGTGCACCCCTGCAGCCCAGAAGGCCAACTGCATCCTGGGATGTATCAAGAGAAGCGTGGTCAGCAGGTCAAGAGAGGTGATTCTCCCCCTATACTCTGCTCTTGTGAGACCCCACCTCGAATACTGCGTACAGTTTTGGTGCCCCCACCATAAGAGGGACGTGGATCTGTTGGAGCGTGTTCAGAGGAGGGCCACAAGGATGATGCAGGGGCTGGAGCACCTCTGCTATGAGGACAGGCTGGGGGAGCTGGGATTGTTCAGTCTGGAAAAGGGGAGACCCCGGGGGGACCTAATAGCTGCCTTCCAATACCTGAAGGGAACCTACAGGAAGGCTGGGGAGGGACTTTTTACAAGAGTGTCCACTGACAGGACAAGGGCAAGTGGGTTTAAGTTGAAGGAGAATAGATTTAGATTGGATCTTAGGAAGAAATTCTTCAGTACGAGGTTGGCAGGACTCTGGAATAAATTGCCCAGAGAGGCTGTAGATGCCCACTTTCTGGAGAGGTTCAAGGCCAGACTGGATGAGGCCTTGAGTAGCCTGATCTAGTTGAGAGGCGTCCCTGCCCATGACAAGGAGGTTGGATTAGATGATCTCTAATGTCCCTTCCAGCCTAGGCCATTCTATGTTTCTATGATTATACAAAGAGTCAGATCTAAGGAACATAAACACGCTACCTTTCCAGTTGATTTTTTGTATCTCTAACGAAACTGCCAGTAATGCTTCCTCTGGGCAGTTCAGGAACCTGCTTTTGAGATTGAGCTTCGGTGCTATTGTCACACACTTTTGTGTACCTACATGCTTCACCTTGGTGCCTTTCCCACCAGAGTATTTGAAATATACCAGCTTGCTTAGTGTATGTCTAGTTCTTGATCCTTGGAGGGGATATGAGCCAGCAGTGTGCCTGGGCAGCAAAGAAAGAACATCTGGGCTCTGTTAACAGAAGCACAGCCAGTGGAACGAGGGAAGTGATTCATCCTCAGCACTTGTTAGCCCACATCTGGAATACTGCATCCAGTTTTGGACTTCCAGATACAGGAAACTGGAGTGAGTGCAGTGAAGGGGCCACTGAGATGGTTAGGGGACTAACACAAGTGATCTCCCTGTGAGGAGAGACTGAGGAAACTGGGTTTGTTCAGCTTGCCAAAGAGAAGACTTATGGAGGATTTAATAGCTACCTTCCAGTACCTGCAAAGTTATCACCAAAAAGATACTTCGACTCTTCACAGTAGTATATGGCAGGAGCAGCAAGAAAATGGGTGTAAGTTGTAACAACAGAGTTTTAACCTGAAGATAAGGAAAAAGCTTTTCACCATGAGGAAAGTCACGCAGAGGAGCAGGTGCCCAGAGACCTTGTGCAGGCTCACATCCATGTTGATTTTCAACTCAAACTGCATAAGTCATGGAGCAACATGATCTGACCTCAGAACTGGCCCTGCTTTGAGCCGGAGGTTGAACTGGAGACCTCCTGAGGTTGTTTCCATACCCAATTCTTTGATATTGTAGGCTAGCAATAGCTGATAGAAGCAGATACCTTTCCTACTAGCTCACAAAGCTGGTGTCCTGGGTTCCAAGGTCTCTCAAAGAGTTTTAAATTCTTTCCTACTTTGCAGAAGGCTCTTCTAGCCAGCAATGGTTTTGTTTAGGACTTTTGACTATTCGCCTCCCATTTTAAGGCTGAGCCTGGGAAACAGGCTTCAGACCTTCTTTCGGGGATGCTTATGAAGTTGATGTTGAATGATCTTTAGATAAGAAACATGTAAAAGGCATTCTGCAGTTTGACCAAACCTAAGTTTCCTTCCTGCCAGTGCGACATCTCTGTGAGCAAGGTCATGAGTCATTAGAAGTTGCACCATGATGAGGCTTTGTTCGTCCCCATTGCCATATTCCTCCCTGCCTGCACAGTGACCCCAGTTGCATAGGGAGGCTGCAGAATGACACACCTGAAGCTGGCAGTTTAGTGCACCTTCCTGGACAATGGGGTCAGTGGAGCAAAAAAAAAAAAAATGGGGCTGGACTAGATGATCTTTTGAGGTCCCTTCCAACCCGTGACATTCTGTGATTCTCTGAAAACCTCAGAGCTGAAAAAAATCTACAACCCCAGTGTCCCATTTCCTGGTCTTACAAGCACACTATTGCATCAGAAATGACCTTTCAAGTCACCAGGAAGCTGCAATGGGTTGTTTCCAGGGATGCTCTGCTCCTGCATTTCAGAGAGGTGCCTACGTCACCACAGTGAATGAAATTTCCAGAATTAGCTTTCTGAGTTGATGCGGTGTTGTGCTGCATATGTTGTTCCATGTGCATAGGTGTATGACTGTCCATTAGACCGTATCAAATGCCTTGTTTAATGAAACAAGCTGTTAAGTATGTGATCAGGCATGTGCAGTTAATGTAAATGAGACTAAGAGGTTACCAGGTCTGGACCTTACCTGGCTGCCTCTTGTAATCCTTACTCTTTCACAGAAGTTACATGAAGTTGTGTTTTGCTCACACAGATTGTTGATTTGCTCCCTCCTTATTCTGGGTATCCAAAATGATCTGACTTAAAACCACTTAGTTCCTCTCTGGTTTTTTTTTAATAATAGGGAAGATTTTTTTTTTAATATCTTTCCCAACACTAAGCTAAGGAATATTGAAACAGTTGAAACAGCACTGATCTTTAGCATGGAGTAGTGACAAGTAACACAGAAGAGATTGGAGTGGTAACCCTCTGCTGTAACTTGGTAGCAACTGGAACATCTGACTGCAGCCTAAGCAATAAATAATGCAATATTTTATTACAGCTACTTGCCTCCTGGCCTTGGCCCTGAATTCAAACACTTTGCCTTCTGTATAGCAATGTCTTTTCCTGCTGCCTCCTGTATCTTGTCCTGTGACATTATCTGTCTGGGATGAAAGTTAGCACCAAAATGTGGACACCTGGATGTGAGTGTCCAGTGGAGACGTCCACCTGTGAGCTTCCCTGAAAGTCAGTACCTGCATTTAGTTAATCAAATAGCTCTCTACTGAGTAGTTCTTACAGGATTTTAACCAGCTGTAGCTGCCTTCTGGACTTGGTTCTGACAGTTGTGAAAGCTTGTAGACTGTATATGGCTACAGCAAATGTACTTCTGCTTTTTGTGTAAGACTCCCAAATCCAATGGGGTTAAAAAAGGGCTTCCTTTTTAAATAAATAGACCATGCTGCAGGCCTCAGCTGTTTAATTTTTCTTCCTATTCCTGTATGTTATACTAGCTGTGGTTGCTGTTGTGGTTGCTATCAGTGTGAAAACTAGGTTAGGCCACTTCAGGAAAACTGGACAATATTCATGTCGTTGTCATTCCATACAGACATGTACTTGAAGATGGCAAGTGTTTTTTTTTTTAACAACTTACAATGTTAACTTGAATTAATTTAATATAATTATGCAGCTTAGTTTTCTAATAATCCACTGTTTTCATGTCTTTGTAAAATACACTTTAGAGGCCTGGTTTCTATTTTTGACGACCTCGAGGTGGTTTGCTGTGCGTCTGGATGCCATCTGTGCCATTTTTGTTATAGTGGTCTCTTTTGGTTCTTTGCTTCTTGCCAACAGTAAGTACAAATGTTAGAAAAAGTTCACTCGGTAATTGCCATGTATAGTAACGTCTAATTCTTTTCCATAGATTGCTGTTTCTAATTGTTTAAGGACTGTAATTAAGTTAAATGTTTCTTTCTAGATCGTGATCTCTTCCTCAGTCTAGGGCATTGGGGCTGTACCTGCTTTCCTACAAATACTGGAGGGAGTTCAGACATCTTCCGGGCTTAGACATGCATCTGCTGTCATCCCCAAACGTGCAAACAAACTTGGAGATCTGTAGTCTTCACTTTTGAGATTCTGGCTTTCAGAGTAATAACAACAGATAAATCTTTTTCTTTTTCCACACCTTTGCCTTTCTTTTTTGGGCCTACAGGGATTTGCTTTTCATACTGAAACACGCACAGAGCTACTTCTTTTGCTTTCTACACATGGCACAGTAGGGCAGAAAGTGAGCTAAAATTCCTAGGGTTACTCTTCTGACATCTTGGATCAGCATGATAGGCCACTACCAGAAAGAAAATCGCCTTGCAATAATATACTGTACATTCACTGTCACTCATGAACTGTCATTAGTATGTGCATCATCCAGGGTGTAATTGGGTTAGATGTACTAGAATGAGATAGTCATCTAAAATATGAAGAAGTAATTATCTTGGACATGAAAATTAGTGCTAATTTGCTGGTTTTGTTTCTTTTCTTTTTCCTTTGGATAAGTTCTGCATATGCCTGTGTGTCTTAAAATTTGAACACTCTTTAACCTCAACACTGAAAATTTTGAGCTAGGTTTAATGTTATTAGAATGCAGAAAGACAAGTCAAAACAATGGTCCTGAATCTTTCCTTGCCTCTGGATAAGCAGTAGCTCTCTTGAAGTCAATAGAGCTATGCTAGGGTAAAGTTCAAGTAAGTCAGAGGACAATCATGCTTAATATTGGAGCAGAAAGAATTAATTTATTTTGTGAGAATAGACCTGCTGAAACAAATGAATGCTTATATAAACAGGAGAAATATTCTGTCCTGTTATTTTATCTGATCACTTACAAGAGAGTGAAGTTGATGTAAATGTTTGTAACTTGTTTTGAAATCATTTTATGCTCATATTTTGCTCAAGTCTAGAAAAAAGTGAAAGGTTACTAATGCTCAGCCAGATAGGGACGACCCTAACAAGCTATGTAAGTGCGATCTTAAGACTGAATCTCAGTTTTTAGGTAAAATGCCAGGCTGAGAGGAGTTTGGATTGTCTTTTCAAATATACAATTCCCAAAACATATGCAAAAAAAAAAAAAAATGCAGCAAGTAGCTGTTCTGCCTGGAGCTACTCATTGCGCAGATGGCAAGTACTGTGTAACCAAACAAAATTCTGGCTGTGATGCTTCCTTCATGTAAGTAACCTCATGAAAGTGAAGTTAACTAGGATTTTGTGCAATTACGAGTCTACCTATTTAATTCTCCTTTTCCTTTGTTCTGCAGCTTTGAATGCAGGGCAGGTTGGTTTGGCACTATCCTATGCAATCACCCTCATGGGAACGTTCCAGTGGGGTGTTCGACAAAGTGCTGAAGTTGAAAACCTGGTAACGTTTGTTTCTTCCTTTTCATCTCTTAGTTCCTTTTCGTGGCAGTGACATGAAGCCTTAAGGATGGGATTCTTCTTCATTAACTGAGGACATTATTATCTTAGCAAGCAATTGAGACACTACTTACAGTCCATAAAGAAAAATAGCCTCTTGGGGTTACACCTCTGGGATATATTTTCTCTGACTGATTCTGAATGTGTGTTCAAATGAATTGTGCCCAATGACTGTCCCTCTCTGTTCCTAGTAAGGGAGACTTTACAGCTGAAAGGACACTGTCTACTTACAGTGTAGATAATTGTATTGCAACTTGCTAAAATTACAGGAAATTAAACCCTTTCTGTTAGTAAGATGCTTTTTACATCATTTGTTTAAATTTGAGATTTTAAAATTTATTATTCTTTATTATTGCATTTTAAAATTTGTTTTATATCCCTCATGACGTTTTTAGGGTCCTATTAATTCGTTGTAAAGTTTTACATCTTCCAAATTTGTTGTAAGTTAAAAAATATTTGAAAGTACACGTTTATATTCAACTGAGAGGACTGTGTGTTTTTCAAAATATTTAAGATGCCTTCCACCAGTTTACAATATTTGCTAGCATGGTCTATGTTGTCTCCTTTCTTAAGTTAATATATGAGAAAAAATACTACAGAAAGAACATACTTAGCTTAAATCTGAGGGGTTTTGTGTTGACGACTGAAAGTTACTTGTAATGAATTGCTGGCCATAGTCTGGGAAGTACATGTAGTTCTTTTGTAGAAGTTACAAAGCTATGTTTAATAACAGATAATACTAATAATGTTAGATTTGTATTTTCTTGTCTAGCACATTGCCTCTTCAGAGCACTTTTCGGACATGAATAAACTAGTCGTGACAGACGTAGGGGAGAAGTGGGAAGAAATGTTTTCAGGTTTTATTGTACCACTTGGGAAATTTTGGAAGTGTTGGTCTCTAACTTTCTTACGTAGTGAATTACTCTCTTGGTTGCTGTGGTTCAGAAATACTTTGTAGGAGAAAGGCTTGCCATTCACTAAGCTGGCATTGGTGTGGAATGCTGATCATTGTGATCATTGTGATTAGCATCAACTTATTTGACAGGTGGTCATCCACCAAAAATCCTGTTATTAAAGGCTGACTACGTTTTGTGGAGGCAAGAAGAGTTCCTCTTTGTTTGACTCGGTCACCTGACAGCCCAAAAAGCCAACCGTGTCCTGGGCTGCATCAAAAGATGTGTGGCCAGGAGGTCAAGGGAGGTAGCTCTGGAGCTCTCAGCACGAGAAGGACATGGATCTGTTGGAGAGGGTTCAGAGGAGGGCCACAAAGATGATCAAAGGGCTGGAGCACCTTTCCTATGAGGACAGGCTGAGAGAGTTGCAGTTGTTCAGCCTGCAGAAGGGAAGGCTCCGGGGAGATCTTACAGCAGCCTTCCTGCACCTGAAGGGGGCCTACAGGAATGAGGAGGAGGATCTTTCTATAAGGACATGTGGTGATAGGACAAGGAGCAATGATTTTAAAGTAAAGCAGGGTAGATTTAGATTAGACATTAGGAAGAAGTTCTTTACTGTGAGGGTGGTGAGACACTGGAATGCATTGCCCAGAGATTGTGGGTATCCTCTCCCTGGAAGTGTTCCAGGCCAGGCTGGATGGGGCTCTGAGCAACCTGATCTAGTGGGAGGTGTCCCTGCCCATGGCAGGGGGGTTAGAACTAGATGATCTTAAAGGTACCTTCCAACTCAAGCCGTTCTGGGATTTGTTCCTGATATGCTTTTCCTTGGAGCCTGCTTTGTAATGTGGGAGGAGTAGGTGGCAATGAGATCAGAGAACTTGCTGCCTGGTGACCTCTGCCCTTAAATCCACTCCAGGCAAGATAAGCCTACTGGACATCTTTATGATTTTTTTTTCAGAATCCATCTGTGAGTGAGGCCATTAAATGCAGTTAATTGTACTGAGAAGATGTATGGGTGAGGATGCACAACAGAGCCAAACCAGAACTTTCCTTATTTGCCCAAGAGGACAAAAAGTGTCTAGATAGCTCAAATTCTGTTCCTCTTCCTTTACGTAAGATTAGAGGCATCAGCAAGCATTGCAGTTTCTTTCATATCTGGCATAAAATGCAGAGTAAAACAAGTTTTGTTACATTAAAAGTCAATAATAAGGTGGTGACATCTATCTTGGATTAAGGAATTGCTTGTGACAGATATATTTAAAAGATTTGCTAGGGGTGAGTGTGATGGTAATGATGAGGACAAAAATAGGGATGATGAAGCCTGTAACTTTATGCTAGTAGTTGTTGTGTGCCTGCCTGTAGCTCATATGGCAGTTTCATTTCTACCTTTGTCTTCCCAACACACAAGGAAGTGATGTTATCCGAGGCAAGACTAACAGACAACTCCCATAGGTTAAATTTCTTAATATTTATGCACATACTTAGATTTGTAGTTAATCCCACTGGTTAAAAATTAATGCTTATGTATGGATTTATATATCATAATAGATCTGGATCTGTAACAGGACAGGAGATGCATTCTTTCCACTTTTTTGAGTTGTATAAAATAAGCGTAGGATGCTACCAAATACCTTTGTCTGCTTAAAGGAAAAACTCTGGGATAATGTGTATTGCATCTTTATAGTAAAAATGCACAGGCAATTATATATACACACACATGCAATATTTGCAGTATATGCAATAATACATGCAGTAAGCTGAAATTTATATATAGATGTCTTCTTTCCTCCCCTTAGATGATATCAGTAGAAAGAGTAATGGAATACACAGAACTTGAAAAAGAAGCTCCTTGGGAGACCAACAAGCATCCACCACCTGAATGGCCAAGCCAAGGAATGATAGCATTTGAAAACGTTAACTTCGCTTACAGTTTAGATGGACCTTTGGTGTTGAGACACTTGTCTGTTGTAATTAAACCAAAAGAAAAGGTATGTGTATGGCTGTCTTTGGCAGTCCATTGAAATTAAGCAAAGATGGTAAGCTGACAAGAAGCTTGTGTGATAAAAATGCATTATAAAATGTATAGATGTTAGAAAATTAGTAAGTGTTCTTTTGAAAAATAAGCCTTGTTCATATTTAATAATAAATATTGGAACCTATTTAATTTCTGTAAGTGTAGCCCATCACAACAAAGGGTTAAACATATATGATAATTTTCTGATAAAATTTGGGTTTTGTCAGACATTCAAAACACCAACTAAGCCCAGAATGTTTGTTCAAAACCAAAGCAAATGGAGCTGCATTAGGAAATTGAGGATTCGATAGAGGCAACATAAATAGAATAAAGAATGTCAACAGACAAGGTGAGCAGAGGCAGTTGAAAGTAACGAATCTACATGCTCTTGCGCAGAGGCTCAAATGGAAGGGAAAAGAAAGAAATACAAATCAGTGGCTTTAGAATTGGGGATTTTATTTCCCTTCCTTTCGGCTACCAATCCAATTAACTGTTGCTATTAATTAGACTGGTAGCCAAAAGAAGCATAGAAATAATACTCTTCCTCCTCTGTAAATTTGACTCTACCTGCCCAATTTTGACACCATCCCAATTGAAAGAGTGCTGCAGGGGAGATCTCCCCCACAGACAAAATTAAATTAGAGCCCTGCAGTATTAATTCATGCTTTGCTACATTTCAAATGCACATGTACTTTTTTGATTAGGATATCTTCCCTAGGAGGATGGTTCAGCTCTCTACAATCATTTGCCCTGGCCTCATTTGTAACGTGCTTTTCCATTCAGTCTCAAACCTGTTTCGTTCCTCAAGTGGACCTTTTTAATAACATGCATGTTACAAGAATTCAACCCAAGTTGTCTGCTTGGAGATGACCTCATGGAATTATGTAGAAGTGAATTAAAAATCATGTTTAAGAAGAAGGGGCCATCTCCCTGGCTGTCACTCCAGTGTAATAGCAGACAAGATTTACATTTCTTAGTAAGAGACAGAAATGAAATCTAAAATAAAATAAAATAAAAATGGAAGCAAAGGGTATTAACAGCGTATGACTCAGTCATTGGTGGGGGCAGGACAGGGAGGGATGACTGGGGGTATTTATTTTTGCTGAGCGGTTGTCCTGTGGTTTTGTCATCCTCAAGTGAATTTGCCCAGCTTGAAACTGTTGCCAAGAACTTTGTTGTTTGTTCTCTATGATGTTTCGCACAATACTGCCGCAGACTGCCACTGTGTAAAATGTATCTCCCCAGCATCTGTGCTCCTTATATTGGTTTTAATTATGGAGAAACCATCTCTTCAGGACCAAGTTTCCAGGTCTGCCGGGGATTCTGCCCACGTGTCAGTCAGTGAGAGCTCTCATGCTTTTTCGGGCTTTCGGCTCACAGAGACTTCTGGTGGCTGCAGTGCCGCTGGCAGGAGGAATGAGTTCAAACTTCTGCCATGCTTGTACCTTTTCTTGTAGCCACCTCAGCGTGGGAAGCTGTAGGTACAGTAAGAATGGAGGATGTGATTACTAGCAGATCGTTCATGGGTTAGGGTCTCTTTTCATCCACTTATCTCAGCATTCAGTGTTTCTCTAGAGTTAAAGCTGGCTGGGAAGAACCCTGTTTTAACCATCTTAGCTTAAGGTAGTGTAGTCTGCCAGAGACAGGCCAGGGAGGGCTGACATCAGGAGCTCTGCCAGGAGCTGGCTGTGATGGACCTCTTCAGCTACTATAGCTGCAGCAGGAGCAGGTTAGCATGGGCAGCCTTGGGTATTAAACACCAGTGTTTTTGTTTTTAGGGTGCTTATGAATGCTTGTTCACTAATGTCTTGTTGAACGCACCTTGTCCTGACAGATCCTAAATCTGAGGGTACGGCTACATGGACAAGTTCAGAGGACGAGGGTCTAGATTTACGGCATGGCAGCTGTTGGCGTAAATACTGTCACAGCGTAGCACGAAAGGGAGGTTGCCTGAGGGGTAACAAAGACACGGGCCGTTTCAGGGGAGTAGCTGACATGCTGTAAATCTCACTCACATTTTTTGTGCAGCTCTACTTTGAAGCGCAAGTGACGCTTGAGTAATGATGAGCCCAGGGTAGCAGGTGTACTCCTGTGTGTGCACGTGGCTTACGTTGCACAAGGAAATCCTGCCATGTGATTCCTGTTAGGTGGCTGAGACTTCCATTTGCAGACTGTCACTGTATTTGCACTGGCTGTGATTGTGGGCCTCTAAAGAATGAAATGTATTAAAAACCATAAATGAGTGTGTATACTGAGAGCTGTTTCAAATTCATGTCAATTTTCAGCAGCCTGTAGTCAATTGGACCAAAAATACAAATAGATTCCTTTAAATACTGAAGAGCGTAGTCCTTTCATTTGATGCCAAACTGAAAGTGGGATTTTGACAATATGCAGAGCAGCTGCATTTTTATTTTAAGTATCAAATGTATTTTTTATGGTTTTTTTTCTTTATGTCCTTAATACAATACTTTATATCAGTGACATTTACAGAGAAACAATTGAACTTTTGTTTTCACAGCTCTGGGTGTTTGTGTTCTCCATTCAGCGTTTTCTTTCTGAGCTGTAGTGTAGCTGTTCAGAACTATTTTTTCCTTTGTTTCACTTATATAATTTAGAATACTAGACATTTTATCATTTATTGTAGCAGATTTGCTTAAATTAGGCTCTATCTTTAATATTAAGCACTGTATAAATGTTAATTAGTGCATATACAATGGTAGAGTAATGAATTGTTGGATGAAACTGTTGAATCGGAAAATAGAAATAGAAAATACCTTTTAGATTAGGGAGTGTAAGCTGCTCCTCACAGTATACTTTTTTTAGCGTTTTGTGTATGTTCGATCACATGTGGACACTGCTGATTTGTCTGAGCTTAGGGTCTCTGGCTGTTAGAAAATCTCTCCTTGCTCCTCGATGTAATGTTTCCTGTGCTTAATTTAATTCCAGCAGTCGTTACTGCATACGTCTGAGTCTCAGGCAGTGGGTAATTGCCCTCTGGTATCTGTACGTATACTCCTGAAGGTTTTTGTGTTTCTTGCTCCTTTCTGCACCTCAAGCACTTTGCCAGGCCATACTGTAGACACTTAATCCTTGTAAATCCTTCCTCATCAAATCAGCATCTCCAACTCATATTAATTTTATATTGCACTTCTCTGAACTCTTTCCAGTGTGTTGATTTCTTTCTGGAAATGTAGTGATTAGAACTGAGTCTAAGAAATTACGAATCCTGCCAGATCAGATCTGTGTAAAGGGTTACACCCATCACCTTCTCTGATACAATTGATTGCTGTACATTGTTTTCTCTAAGAATCTTTTACCTGAAGACAACATTTTAAAAAAGAAGTTTCTGTTCAAGGAGTATTTAATCATCACTGATTATATATCTCATTTATTAATGTGCCTACCCTCTCCCAAGTGATGGTTTCATACGAAATATTTGTAGATCCTAACCCCTCCTTGTTCAAGTTAGCAATCCCCTGTTTTACGTTGTCCCTACCTCTGTTTTTCTGAAAGCATTATTTTTCACGTTTCCTACAGCTTCTGATTTTTCTTTGGTATTGTATAGGAGACGCCTGAATCACTGTGATTTTGTTATTCACCGTTTTTTCTGTTTGGAAAAGAGTTGCAGGTTGTTCACGTGGCCTTGTAGTTTCAATACTTGTCCTCTCTGATGAAGCTGTCTGAAGCATGAATACAGTTTATAATCCTGCTAGGTTTGTCTTTAGAGTTTGACTGTTTTACCGTACTTCACATTAACCTTGCTAACCAAAATCAAGCTCAGTTATTTAAATTGGGGTACTGTTCATACGTTGTTCCCAAAGTACATCATGGGAGTCTTTTTGGGAGGTTGAGAAGTAGATGCATGCTTCAAATTATTTGCCTAACATCACCCAGCAAACCAGGTTTAGTATAAAAATTAGCAGCCTTGAATCACATTACTCTATACACCGAGCCACTTTATCTTGTTTACACAATAAAACACCACACATTAAGCAAAAATCTTTCACCTTTCAGTATGATCCAAGAAATTGTTGGATATCCAGATGTCACTTGAATCCAAACTGATTTGTGGTGAGGTTTTTTTTCCTCTCAAAAATGTTAATTTTAAAGAAATTTTATTTGGTGCTTGTTCTGCTATAAATCCTGTGATGCTGTAAACTGTTGCTTGACATGTTAATTTACTCTGAAAAGCTCATGGTTTAGATGTACAAACTTGGCTTGCTCTGCAGGTTGGAATAGTAGGAAGAACTGGAGCTGGGAAAAGCTCCCTGATAGCAGCCCTCTTTCGCTTGGCGGAACCCGAAGGGAAGATTTGGATTGATAAGTACCTGACATCAGAGCTAGGACTCCATGACTTGCGGAAGAAAATTTCGATTATACCTCAGGTAAGAGAGTGACTTGATTTGCTATAACCATTTTCAATACAGTGTCGTAGTATTTAAAATGCTTTCCTGGGGTATGCTCCTCCTGCACCCCTGTATGCAGTACACATAGAAGTTCTAGTGAGGTGTTATTCGTTCCTGAGTGAGGTCTTGATTATGTCGAGATAACAGAATCAGCTTTGGAGGCTGGAGCATTTTCTTCCCAGTTTTGTCCCCTATCTATACACAGGGAAAAAAAATATATACAGGGAGAAAATTATAGTGATGTTAGGAATAGCCTCACCTCTGGTGCTGGAGCAGAAGAAAGGACATTCCAAGGAGTCCAGTAGGTCACAGGTCTTCTCTTCTATGGTCTTAGTTTCCAGTGAGATGCTCAATCAGAGAAGGGTTGTGTGTAACCTCCAAAGTTCCTAAAGGAACTTGTGCAGGTTACCATGCTTCATTAGAGCCATGATCGCTTCCATGATCATTTGCTCTCCATTGGAGTGGGAGGAAGAGGGGATGCAGCTTAGATGCTCCAAATGCAAAGTCATGTTTTTGGAATATAATTAATCTGGGGTATTCTGGCAGGTAGGTAGAGTGGTAGGCTGGAAACCAGGGGAATTTGTTTGCCATGTTCAGCATTAATTATCAGATCACTCTATTTTATTACAGAAGCTATTTTTAGGGTCCTTACACCATCTTTGTATCTGAATGTTTGCTAGCCTGTTGGCATGATGGCATTCGGAGTATATTACTTTCTTTAAATTGAGAATCTGATAAAAATGGTAACGAACAGTGGTTCTAAGCTTCTTGATTACCTGTTTGGGGTTTTTTTTAGCTTTCCCAGAATAGGGAGTCAGAGAAAAGAAGCAGGTATGCTATTATTATTTAAAAAAAAAAATCATCAACAAAAAAAAAACCAACAATAGCAAAAAAAAACAACCAAACTCCCAAAAAAATCTAAAACCAGAGGTGCTCCTCCAGCAGCTGGATTATTGCCTAATGCAGAATGTCTTTTGTTTCTGCATGTTGAAGGCTTTGTTACGCACAGTGGAAGTACTTACTGAAACTAGTCATCTTCTGTATGTAGAGCGGACTTCACGTGGATTTAAGTTCTATTTTTTGTTTGTGTGCAGCGTTCTTTTCTCATGAAAGCAGATGATCATCAGTTCATTCAAGGTCTTCAGCTTTCTGAAAGTCTTGCCTGTAGCTGTTGTGGGTGATTTTTGTGTTTAGAAGAATTCAACCCAGTTGAATAAAATACAGTACTGAGAAAGGAAAACTGCTGGTCAAATACAGTTTCTGCATGCTGCATGATGCAGATACTCAAAGTTCACTGCATTTAATTATAGGGGTTTTTTTCACACATTGGGTTTTTTTTCCCACACATTGACATGGTTGTAAAACTATTTTAATCCAGTTGAATTCTGTGACTTTTTTTACCAAGTTCATACAATAGGGTTTTGATCATGGTCCCAAAGAGTTTGAAGTGTCCAAAGCCTAGCAGGTAGTATTTCTTTCCCACATAAGGGAAGACTTGTTTCCACTAAAAATATGCAAAACTCTGAAGTGACGGTAGTAAGAAGAGGAAGAGGATTTGGAGTAACATTTTTAGTGTAGGAAACTGAGTGATGAGCAGTGTCTTGTATTGCATTAATAGTAGCGTCAATAATAGAAATATAGGTTACATCAAGTACCTGTTTTGGAGCAAATAACTTCATAATTGCATAGGAAGTTATGAAACCAGAGGGAGAGATGCTTATTAAAATTCTAACATAAAACATGCTAAACAGAGCTTTTCCTAGAGAGTGATGAGGCAAGACTGAAGTTTTCTTATATGTAAGTTTAAATACCTACCTGGAGAAATAAAAATGTGCTTAGGCTTCTAATTGCTTGCTTAGATGGAGCTGTGCGAGGGTTGTGTTTGTAAATCTTTTCTATGCAAATGTTGTCTGCCTCCCTGACTGCAAGCATTTTTACAACAATTATTTACAGGTTTGTCTTATTACTTTCCTCTCATAAACCAGACTAATTTAAATAATAATCTGTGTCAGAAATGGTAATTAAAAAATATCCTTATCTTGTGTTGCAGTACATGTCTGTTGTTAGGACTTTTATAATAGTTATGAACACTTTATAAATTCAGCCTCTTATTTTGCCAACCTATAAAAATGGATTGAAAAGGCAAATAAATGTAACAATAGCTTCAAAACACACCAAATGGTGTATTATAGTTTGTATTGTTAAACAAATTACTTTCTAGGTGTTTTTGAAGAAAACTGTTCTTTAACCTGATAGAAGTTTTTTTAAAATCCTTTTGTTCATTCAACAGGTTTTCAGTAACATGTTGCTAAAGAAACAGATACTTTCAAAGAACTGGCATGTTATGTCAAGAAACGCATACGTTCTTTTACATTGCTTGTGGCATGTTCTGTCTTTGTTAATCCTTTTATCCCACTCAGAGCAGTTTAGAAATGAAGGCACAATAAGAAGGTTAAGGTCTAAATTCTGCTCTGCTTTGCTGCAGCCCTTTGGGGTTGGACATCCCTAGGGATAGAGGGCGAGTAAGTCATGACAGGTTAATCTCGGAGTAAGCTGAAGTTACCCAACGTAAGTTAGACTTTATTTCCTAGGGGAGAAAGAAAGAAAACATTTTGCCTAAGATTTCTCCAATTTAAAGATGACTGACAACATGATGAATGGTCTCCAATTATGATTAGCACTATTACAGCTTTCGACTACTTGTTGTCTTTATGTGTAGTACTAAGAGGAGTTTAGCCCTAAAGTCAGGTCGGTGCATGACTCTCAGGTCTGGCAGCTCGCGTTAGGGAGTACTGATCTGCTGATTAAGGACTTCTGGGCCCAAAGTTGTCTTCCTGCTTCTCAAATGCTACATTTTCCAATGTGAATTGGTTTGTGCCAGTTTGATTAGTTACATGTTACTGATCTGACCAGGAACTGAAGTGTTAAAAAAAACCCCAAACCTTGCTTCTGCCACAGGTATTTAAAACCCATGTTGGTACCTGAATAGAAGGTACTGATTTGACTCCCTGGTGTATTTTGAATTAGAACTTTGCCCAGCAGTGCTCCAGTTCTAAGTAAGTTTGCTTTGATGCTGTGGAAGTATAGATTCACTTCTGTGTCTACAGGTTTAAACATTGTGTTGAAGTGCTGAGCCTGTTAGGCTCTGGTGGTGAAAATGAAGGGCTTTTATGGCATGGGAAAAAAAAAAAGAAAAACCAAAGAAACCCCAAACCCACAACCAACTAGAGAAGGAAAACCAGAAAGGCATTGTGAGCTCTTTGATTCCACTCTGGTTTATGTACTTCAAAACCAGATTTTCAGAATTGCCCAAACGTAATTTAGGAGTGTGAGTTCATTGACAGTGGTAGTTGCTGAATTTTGTTAACAATACCAGGAGGATAGCAGTGATTTCACGTGAGTATATATGTAGCTTGTGGCATCAAATAGGTGGCATGTAAATGCCCGTTTGAGTACCAACATGACTGTGTGCAGCAATTTACAAACAAACCCTTCCAGTTTGGTAAATTATCTTCAAACAGACTGGTTGAACACTTGCCTCCCACCTCCCTTTAAGCACATTGTTGTGAAATACTCCTTTGCATTTCGTAAAAGTTAGCTTGTTGTTGGATGTTTCTGTACTACTGTTGATAGAGATTAGTTCTGATTATTATTGAATTACATATCACAATATAAAACCTGTGTTTATAATGGAATGCTAATTTTACTGTTTTTTAGGAGCCTGTTTTATTCACTGGAACTATGAGGAAAAACTTAGACCCTTTCAATGAATACACCGATGAAGAACTGTGGAATGCTTTGGAAGAGGTGACTTACTAAATCTAATGATGTACTTCTGTTATTTACAAGCCAAATAACACTACAGTGCTTGTGTGCATTACATTTTAGATGTTTTAATCAGGTTTGATAAGGGGCATGAGTGTTGATGGAAAAAAGTAGACCGTTGTGTGTGCATTTGTATATAAGTGTGTTTGTGCATGTGTGTGTAGACATGTATATTGTTACATGTTTTAATGAAAAAATTATCCTTTAGCATAATGATACTTTGGTTACGTTTTGATTCATATCTTCATTTTAATGAACAGTAATAGATTCCTAACAATGTGCTTTAATGCTTTTAGAATTCTAATAACTGACACACTATGTAATCCAACTTGGCACTTACTTATTTTGTGTCAGAATATAGAAGGGAAACCTTGCATACTTATTGTGTCATCAGACACACAATAGCTGATTTAAAAGAGAGTTACTCATCCTACAGTATGTTGACATGTCAACAGGTGCAACTGAAGGAGGTTGTGGAAGAGCTACCTGATAAAATGGAGATGCAGCTGGCAGAATCTGGGTCTAATTTTAGTGTTGGTCAGAGACAGCTGGTGTGTCTTGCCAGAGCAGTTCTAAAAAAAAATCGGATCCTTATCATTGATGAAGCAACAGCAAATGTGGACCCAAGGTAAAACTGAAATCTTTCATGTTAAGATGAGGTGCTTTATGGTCTAATATGATCAGCTGTACTGTAGAGATGAACTTAAAATGCTTCGTATTTCTTGTAGATTTTATTGCTCTTTTAGGTTTTTAATGATAGCATCATAGTTGTCTATTCAAAATGGGGTGGTTGAGCTTTGGCTGACAGAGCAGATGATATAAGCTAAGTGCTCAAAATGTCCCTACTTTCAGTGCATTCCATAGAGTAGGGAAATTAATATTCAGAGTTTATTTGTCCCACAGCCATTGACAAGAGGACAAGAACCTCCTTGGAAATGCACATCAGTAACATCAGAATAGGCATGAAACAAGTTGAGTTCTGTTGATTTCTGGAATAAATGTCTCTTGGAAATAAGTTTTTAAAAAATAATTAATCTCCCCACAAAAAAAGACCAAAACTAGAAAGGTGAAAAATGGCTATAAGCAAAATGGGATACTTCTGGTTATGAGATGTTATCCCTTCAGATGGCTTAGATGCCAGTGTAGTAAGTTACAGATAAAATAGGGGCAGGGAGTAGGGTAAAATGTCCTAAACACCATCGGAACTGCAAAATAGATTTGGAGATTTTTAAAGCTTCAGGAAGGACTTACCGTTCATTATTTTGTCTTGTATAACTCAGGCAGGCAGAACTTTCCTGAATTCATTCCTGTTTGAACTAGAGTGTACTTCTAGAAGAACATCCAACCTCAATAGAAAAAAAATCCAATGACAACCCTTCTTAAATTGTTACAATAGTTAAGTACCCCCACTGTTAATTTTTGAAACGTTTGAAACACTGGTGGAAATATTTTGGAAACAATACTGCAAACGTACTGCATCAATTAGTCTGAGTTGAATATATAGTTCCAACAAACTATGGCTGGAGGGAGAACTCAGAATCCAAAGAGGACAATAACACAGCAAGTTCCTCAAACAGATGCATTAAGGATTTTGTATGTCATCTGGGCGTGACTCATTTTTATAACATCTTCTTGGGGGAGAAGTGGTGCCACTAGGGTAGCTTTGCAGTTCAGCTGACAGTGTATTTCTAAAACCTTTAGAGAGTGCATTCCCTTCCTAGAGGTTCTCCCTTTTTTTCATTTTCTTTTTTTCTTTTTTGACTATTAGTGTATTTTTGGCTGAGCTCTGATAGATTAACTGTGATTAATCATAGCTGTGGAAATTTAATACCATCTTACTTATCCTCCCTATTTTGGCATCTCATGTGTGTGTTCTCAACTTGCACTATCCGTTTAATTGATTCTGATTAATGTGGGCTGCAATATATATTATAATAAGGTAAATGTTTGTTTGTATCAACTCTAGGCATAACAATACAAATAATAACTTGGAACTTCTTCTTTGAATTCAGTTGGCATTACAGTCATTATTACCTTTTCCTTAATGTGTTGTTATAACTAGAGCCAAGTATTTTTTGCCTGTGCAATCTGATAGGACGCTCCTCAGGAAATGCTGATGTGGGTTGCTTAACTGAGCAGTTAGGGAGGCATTTTTGGCATGTAAGGAAAACCTCCTCCTCTTCTGATGCACAACTTGGCACCCTCACCTCTAGCCTGGCGGCAAACACCCCTCGTATCAAGCACCTGGGATAGGAAACCATGGGGAGCTGCCGCCGGCTCTGGGGATATTATTTCTTTTGGGTTGTTGTTTTTTGGCTCTTGATCTCTTTGCCTGAACTGCTGCTGCAACTGTGTCCTTTTTGCAGTTCAGCCTGGAAGCAAATGCGAGAAGGCAGAGTTTGGGGGGGTGGGAGAAGGAGGAAAGGTGAGGTGGCGTGAGGCAGTGGATGTGAGGGCAGAGCATGAGGCGTACAGTGTGCTTTCCCCAGGGCTGAGGGACTCCTCACCATGTCTCTCCAGCTCAGCCAGGCCTTTCTTACCTGTTGGTGAGCAAAGGAGTGAAAGGAAGGAATTTGGAGTTCATCCTTCTCCCTTCTTCTTCCATCTTGCAGCACCCATATGTACCTTTATTTTCCCCCTTGCTCCTCGTAGCTACCGGCAGCTCTGCATGCTGCAGGGCTGTCAGCGCTGTCGTGAGGGAGAGGAGGAGTTTGCCATAAAGAAGGTTGCCCTAAGTCAGACTAGTTGCATGTTTTACCTGATGACTGACAGATGTTTGATTTGATCTTATCTTCTTGGTCCTGAAGCCAGCATTCTCACCCCGAAGAATGGAGTAATTTTAAAGCAGTTGAACCATTCTGGAAAGTTGTATGAGGAACAGAGGAGTGGAAAATCATTCTGTAGTTGCTTTGGTGATACATATTGAAACAAAATCCTTCGTAGCTGAGGCTATTTTTAAATACTAAGTAAGTTGAACTTGCTAAGTTTTCTGCACACTGACTTGTATTTTCTGCACACGTGAACTTGTATTTTTACTGCGTGTAGAGGACAAAACTTTTTGGGACCAGTACACCGCCACATTTTTACAGTGGTTGTACACTGAGCCTGGTGAAAACAACAACCATTGCACATAGTTCAGTCATTAGCCAGCTTAACCTTGTAAGGTTTAACCTTTTGTTATGTCTAACTGCTGTCTGTAACTGCTTCTCTTTGGGAGAAATTATCTAAAGCCACTCAAGAATTGTGTAGTATGAGATATGCTTTCAAGACAATCCCAGGAGGGCATTAGACAGAAGATAATGACTTATCCAGTGTTCCTTTCAGCAGCTTGGTTGCTTCTCATTCAGGTTGTATTTATTCTCGCTCTTTAGATAGTTCTCTTTTTACACAGTCAACTAATTCAGGTATTCAGGTTCTACCAGATCTTGGCTTGCTGTGAAGCTTGGTGTTAGATCCTCAACTCGTGGTACCAGTGGGACAGCTATACCACCATTTTGTGCTTTCTTATTGTATTGTTCCTTGCAGTGGGGAGTATCGTGGTTCCCATTTTCATATAATCAGATTGGGGTTGAGCTTTTGTCATCTGGCAGCCCTGCTTTTGGTATTCAGGTTGCATCTTTGGTTTCTAATGGGCCTGAAAGATGATGGGGTTTGATCTGCTGAGATGAGTGATGGAATCAGCTTGGCACTTGCCTGGCCACTTTCTCAGTGTGGGTAGGTGTCACAAAGGGTCCATTTATGCCCTGGAAAAAAAAAAAAAAAAAAAAAGAAACGCTGCTTCCTTTGGCACTTTTCTAGAGGATAGATGGCTCTAATTGGTATATAATGTAGTTTCTACACTGTCAGCACATAATTCTGTACACAGACCCTTTTCTTAGTCTTTTAGATTTTCTTGCCTTTCCTTCCTTCTTGCCAAGGTTGTCTTGGAGGTTACTGATGGTGCTTCTACCTGCCACCCCAGAAGCTATACTCCAAGATCTACCATGAATCATAGAGAGGATCTGCTTGAGTCCATATTAGTGGATATGTCTGCATGAGATTTCATACTGTGATACTTGAAGATGGAGCTATTAGGTCTGTTTCTGATTACTTTGTAGTTTAGAACATTTGTCACACCCACAATATGGCCAGCAGTTTCTTATTAGGGATAAGCTTATATTCAAGAAATACTCGTTTAAGATAATAGCTTGATAGTACCTATCTAAGAACGAGAAATTGTTTCTATCGTAAATGCAGGAAGAGGTGGTGCTATAAGGAATGCACATGATAAAGAAATATATAACAAATAAATGCAAGGACAAGGAGTTCTCCTCAGATTAACTGTAGGAATAACCTGAGAATTATCAGTCATTTTGAGCCCTGTGAAAAGTTGCTTTCAGGATTCCTGAGCAAGCTGTAATTCTCTGTGCTCCATAGGAGCTCTCCTAGAGGACTTTCCTTACACAATTCTAAGCAGAATTGAACCTTTTGTTTCTATTTTGCTATTCTGACCATAGTAGAGAACATATCCTGCTGTCTGTTGAAGCCTACTGAGTGTTTTCATATATGGCCCTGATTATTTTTTCTTTTGAAAGTAAGTACTCAGGTCACTGAGGTGATGCTGAGAAGATAGCAAAAGAAGATACATGCATTAACACTGAGGTGAAAGCAATGCTATCGCTGTGATGTGCGGCATTAATGATGAACAACTTCTTTTCTTAGGGAGACTGTTAACAGGGCTAAAGAGCCTGGCTCTGTCCTGACGTCTCCTCCCGTCTCTTCCCCTGTTTGCATACTGGCCTTGATCCGAAAGGACAAGTTGAGGGAACACCTGCTTCCCACCATGTTCTTCAGCTTCTTTTAGGAAGGAGGAGCAGAAGGGCCAAGCCTTCTCAGACTTCAGTTCTTCTAAGCTCATGTCAGAGCTTGAATATATCCGTCCCCAGATGAGGGTGACAGTCAGCATGCATGGGAACTCTTACTTAACTGTTTATGACTTCCTTCTCTCTGATGACTTGTCCTGTCATCAGCAGGGATCTATCTATTCCTTTGTCATGCCGATTGCTTAAATTTGGTTAGTAAAAGAAGTTATGTTCAGTCCTTTGGAGCATAAGCCTTGTGCTTTCTACTCTGGAAACTTATGGTTATTCCATTCCTCTAAGTCATCCTGTTCTTCCAAAGTTGTCCTGGTCCACTTTTTTGTTGTTAATACCTCCTGACATGATGACATCAGAACAATTCTTTTCACTTAATTTATGAAGTGATACCAAGTATTTATCATGTGCAGACGGACTCAATGTAAAGTACTACTGCTGTCTAAAAGAATAACAGTTTTTCAGAGGAAGACATGTGTTGCATGAGTCTTTGTTGTATTTTATTTGATGTTCTGGTTACTTTTAACAATTTGAAAAAATAAGGCTTTGCAAGCAACCAGTTGAAGCCAGCATGGCTGCCTAAATATACCAGCTTATCCAGATATCACCAGTATCTTGTTTTAACCCTATCTACAGCATTTATTATTCTCCATTCATTATATATAAAAGTACAGTTTCATATTTAATAGATATCCTGGAAATGAGACCCATGCCTGAGCTTCCTTGGTCCAGCTAACCCCCATATATTTCTTCGTATCCTCCTTCTCTCTTGGATGAGAATTTCAGTTTTTGTACTTTTTTCTCTCCATGGTTACCACTCATCCTGTTCTTTGAAGGCTGATGAGCAGTATGGTTGCACTAGCTGACCCTTAAAGGTCCCTTCCAACTCAACACTGTTCTATGATGATGTGACTATTCTCTGGCCTGGCCATGGGCCCAGGTTGGGGACCAAGGCTTCCTGTGCGGTGCGCCAGGTGCCTCTAGAGGGCATTCGTCACCTGATGGCTGCCTCATTCAGGTGCTGCCATTCCCCTTCCAGCCATGCCTTTCCCCTTTCATTGACTGAAGAGAGCACTGCATAGATTTTCACATTTAAGCCTGACTGGTTTGTTCTAAGTTAGGTGGTGTCAATGCGTCTCGTTATGCTTCTCATAATGCAATTTGTTACTTGAATATGACTATCGCACCTCTTCAGCCTTAATGCTTGTTCATAGAGCCAAAGGATGTTTTGGTGTCTTCGGTATCATTTGGTCTAGTTTTGTTTCCTTTGCACAGTTCTCGGCTTTATTTGTGACACTTACCACTTTAACCCTGTAATTCAGTGTCTTCGCTCTAGCTTAGTTTTTGTTCTTTACAAGTCTTACGTTTCTTCCCGATACCCTTTTCTTAGGTGGATTTCATGTAGCAGATTGAAGCTCTTGAAAGCTTTTATTCCTTTCCTTGGGTTGTGCATTCCAGTTAACACTTTCAGTTTGCAGAATATGCCAAGTTGTCTTTTTTCTGTGATCCAAGTTCTTGAGCTACTCCAGTTTTAGTTTAGTTTACCAACCAACTACTTTATTTAATCCTCTTTTGCCGTTGAAATAAAGAACCTTAGTTACAAGCTGTCTTATATTCATTCCTCAGTTAATTTGTGATGAAGAATATTTACTCTCACCAATTTTTATTCGCTGCTTGCACAAAGTAAAGCTTGAAATAAAATAACAATGACTTTTTTTGGTGTAGAAATTTGTAGGAATATGTGACTCTACAGAATTTTCCTCTTTCTTTAATGAAAGCCTGGTAAATTGGTCTCCCGAAAGGAAATCTTTTGCTCTTCTTGCAAGAAGAAACTCTCCTCCTCAGGTATTAGAGGACAGATTTTGAAGGATATTTCATGATATGCCTCCAAGTCATCTAATACAGCTAGAGGAAGAAGCACTGTAATGACTTCATAAGCATATTTCCTGCTGTACAGTCATGTTTGATGAAATTATAAAACCTGCCTACCATTCAGTTATCCACACAAACATCTTATTTTTGTCTGCATTGCTCTTGTGCTTTTTTTGTTTTAGAACAGATGAGTTCATTCAGAAGACGATTCGTGAAAAGTTTGCTCACTGCACAGTGCTGACAATTGCACACCGCTTGAACACTATTATTGACAGTGACAGGATTATGGTAAGACAATTAACTGCTCTAAATTTTTTTTTTCCCTGAAAAAAAAAAATTATATTGCTGACTCTCTTCTCTGTTCTTAATTTTGATCTGAAAGTGGGCAGAGGTTTAAGTCATATGTAGACTTATCCTAGTTATCCTAGTGTCTGTGATTGGCAGCTCATAGAACTGTAGAAGTAATGACCTGAAAAGACATTTTACATTGTCTGGCCGTGTGGTTTCCAGCCTGCGAGGCATGAACCCATGGCAGGTGAGGCACAGCAGCAGACCTGAGCACATAAACTCTGCCAGCGCTAGCAACCTGTGAAGACACACCCAGGAGGCTCCGGACAGAGTCAGCTGGATTCGGTTTATTAATTCAGTCTCGGTGGGCTGAGGGAGGCAGTGACAATAGTTAGTGGTGTGGGATATGTGAGGAGGAAGTGGTAGAGGTTCTGGGGCAGGAGACATGAAGGTAAGGAGACAGCAGCTGCCCCGGGGCAAGGGTGGTGGTGGGAGAAGTGGAACTAGACTGGTGAGGTAATGAATGTAGCCAGCTTTCTAAAGCAAGGTTCAAACAGCAAACACGAAGCACTACCAATCCAGCAGCCTCTGCCATCTTCGTTCCCAACAGAGCAGTGATGTACTCTGCCACTGTGAAATACCCTCTCTGCTATCTCATCTACCCCACAGTGCGTTGCACGTGCGTAGAAATTAGGAAATACTTGCTGATTATTTTCATGAAAGCAATGGCCTTCACTAGGCTCTCAGGATATTGAGCTGATTTGTGTCTTTGAAATGATGTGCAGTCTGCAGTTTTGCAATTATCTGCAGTAGGAACAGGAGCCCTTTGCAAACATTTTCTTCACAGCCAGTTAATGAAGTAGCTGTCGTACTGGGCAAACTGTGTTTGTGAGCGGAACTCAAATTTAACTGGGCTTCAAGCAGAAATTACCTTTTACCTCTTGGTGGTAACCTTAAAAAACACTTTCTTCAACTTTTGTGTAAATGTAGAATGTTACTTCTTTCTTTGCTTTTTTTACTGGATGGTCAAAACATTTTAAAATCTGTGATGGAGTTAAAATGGTTACCTAAAGTACACAAAATGAAACAATTGGATCTACTGAGGGAAGTTGTGTTCTGAGAAGTAGAATTGATTGTGAGCTGAGTGATTATAGTTTACTTAGAGAGAAACCAGCAGAACTGCCATAAGTAGTCATGTAATTGCAAGCATTTAATGTATAATAAATAAATATTTTCTTCACTGGTGAATACCTCCCTACAGGTCTAATGGATATGTTAGTGTTTTCTACAACTAAAGTGAACAAAAGATTTGTGAGGAAACAACTGTGACCTAATTAATAGCTGTGTGTGTTTGTTAGCCGTCCAAAGAGATTTCTGTGGGTTTTGGTTCATTAACTACTATTAGCATGTTATGCATAGAATGCTCTTTCCATGAAGATGTTTTCTTAGTTTTACCTTTAATATTGTGAAGTTATAATGAAAAACCAGGTCTTTTATTTACTTTTTTTTTTGTCAAAAGTCAGTGGAACAAAGCATAGAAATCACCCTTCTCCCCAAACTGCTCAGTATAATTACCAACTACACAGCTATTCTGTTGCATTTTAGAGTCTGTACATTGTTCTTAACCTTATTTATTTAGTTTAGCAGCTATTAAGATTACTAGTTTCCTAAGAGTCCATTTATGTTCCTACATTGTCTAATACAGTCTTTTTATGGAAGCTTTTGACCTCTTTAGAATATTAAGGAACAAATTTGCAAGATGTGCCTTTGACTCCATAGTCATTAGTGACTCTTAAATATTTTGCATCCTTTTACATTGTTCCATTTTGATCTACTTACAGATATCTGTAATTTTTTGGAGGAGAGGGGAAGGTGAGAAGCATAGGACAGAAAAAAAACGAAGAAACTGACGTGACCCCTTAACAAGCCTGTTTTCTTGACATACTTATTAAGCTATTGATTCTGTTCCCAGACAAATCAGAAATACAATCACATATTTAGAATGATCAGAGTTATGGCAGGTGTGCTTTTGTATACACTTCTAGTTACTTGGTTTACTCAGATATGTAACTCCTAGTTACATATAGCAGAATTTCATAAGAATAAAAAAAAAAATGTTTATTAAAAATGCAAGGAAAAAGAATGTCCCTCTAGAAGACTTGCTGTTAATGAGTGTCACTAACAATAAAAACAGCATTCATGGAAATTTGCTCATTTACTTAAATATCAGAAAAATTGAGATGACACAGCTAAAGAAAGCTTTCAATGTATTTTAAGATTGGGCTAGTTAATAATGTGTCTTAGTAATTCACAAATTTAACTTGATGCAGATTCTTTTTTAAGATTAAAAATGCACAAACTGAAGTGTATTGTTCTTCCATTACCCAATATTATTGAAAGCCCTGGGTTTGTTTCCCTTTTAACTGAGACCTCGAGATGCAATAATGCCTTCATTTATAAGCCATGCCAAATCTCTGTTGTTCGCTATCATGGTAAGTTTGTTAGAAAACAAGAGAAGAACAAAAAAAATGGAATCTGGCAGTTAGGATATTAACAACTGTCTTTTGTCAAGTTACTTTAAAACAAATTTTTAAGCAAACTTGTTCAACTCTCTTATCTCAATCACAAAAATCCAAGCCCATTCCTGAATAAGTGTATGTAACCTGAACATAAACTTAGGGTTTCCCTCCCTTCCCACTGAATCAAATTGAAAGGAACATCAGGAGGTCTCTAGTCTAACCTCCTGCTCCAAGCAGGATCAGCACTAATTTCAGATCAGGTGGCACCATCTCTCTGGGCAGCCTGCCCCAAAGCTTAATTATCTGCCATGAAATCTTTTTTTTTTCCTTATATCCAGTTGAAGCCTCCCTTCAGTTTATGGCCGTTGTTTCCTGTTTTCCCATTGTGTATCTCACTAAAGAGCCTGCTTTAGCTTCTCAGTAACTTCTTGTAGGTATGGCAAGATGGCTCTTAAGTCTCCTGATGCCATCCAGAGTGGACAAGCCCTGCTCCATCAGCCTCTCCTCATAAGTCAAGTGCTCCAGTCCCCTGATCACCGCCGTTTACCCTTATCTTCTGCCAAGGGGTTGAAACTGATCACCATACAGCGAGCTCTGGATAAAGCCATTCCCTTGATCGGTGCCCCTGTTGGCGCACTACTTGACTTTTTAGCTTACTGAATGCCAGGAGCCCACCTCCTTTTCAGCAGAGCTGATGCCCCGGCAGTTACCCCCCAGCTGGTGCAGGGGGTTAGTCCGTTCCAGATTCTGGTATTTGCAGCTGTTGTTGTTGAGCGTCATGAAGTTCATGCTGAACTATGCCTTTAGCCTGTTGAGATCTAAATAGCTTTGGATGTTTTAGTAGCTTTGAATGGTTTAAGCGTATTGACTACAGTCTCCAGTTTGATGTTGTCCAGAAGCTTTTGATTTAATTCAGTTTAATGGCTGATTAAAGCAGAGCCTTCCAAAAAAAGAAAATGTTCACCTTTAGGGTTAATCCAAATATTAAAAAAATAAAAGAACAGAAAACAGAAAATAATTTTGAGAAAGTCATGAGAAAATGTCAAGTTGGATGAGTATGGAAATAGGAACTGAACGTGAACTGTTGCATGTCTGCTCACACCCATCGTAATAACCGGTTCTATTTTAGAAGGGAAGAAAAGCCTACTGGAAGAGAGAAAAAAGGAAGAACAGAATACATTTTATACAACTATAGACAAATCTGGCCTCAGGAGTTGTTTTAATTCTCGTTTGTTCTATTCCCAAAACCATACCTCTGGTTTCATAATCCAGGTCACGCCTTAAGAGCATTTCCATTATATCTATCTTAGTGATAAACATATTTTATCAGAACTTCAAACGCTTAAAATCATTGAGGGAAGAGCTGTATTGTGTAACGTGATACTCTCTAACCCAATCACCTCAATGAGTAATACTACATTGCACTTGCATGGGACCTTTCATCTGGAAATTGTAACGCTCTTTACAAACATTAATTAATTAAACTTCAAACACCTGGGTGAGATAGGGAAGTATCCATACAATCTTTGGAACCAAAGTTGGAAAGACTTGCTAAGTCAGACCATCAAATAATACTACCATAAAATTATAATACAGTGGTTTTCAAACTCTTTCTTTTTTTTTTTTTTTTTTCCCTCTCTACTGCTCCAGAGTCTCATAGGGCATCTTCTCATTCCTTTTTCTTCATTAGTTTGAGAGCTCAAACTGTAACTCCTCCCATCAGGTGCTAGCAGTACCCATTCTACCTCTCTGACGCAGGCAACCATGCTGCTTGCTCCCTGGCACAAGGGCAGATGCTGCAGCTGCCTCTCCTTTGATGGCAAATTGTAGCAGAAGCTCATTCTCAGGCTTGCTCTCCTGCCCACTCATTCCATGTAGCATCCCCCCACCACAACAGCTTCTTAGTGCCCTGTCCTCACCTTAGAGGGTGAGGGCCTTTTTACGTAAATTGTAACTACACCTCACCAGACCCAACCGGCAGCAGCCCTGGGGCAGCCAGAAGGCACCACTCCCAAGACTTCAGTGCGACCTCGTAAAAATCCCCGTCACCTGCTCCTTCCCCTCTGCTTGGCTTCCTTCTCCAGATGGAGAGATACTTCTGAGAAACTGCTTTTACAAAGCATACAGAAATTGAGGCTCACCCAGGGACATAGTGGATGGGTAGCAAATTAAGTATATGCAACTGGCAAGAGCCTGATGCGGTTGTTTCCTCTATATACTGTGCCATGGTCTCTCTATAGGAAAGCCACAGAATAGACAAAACTTGCGCATTTTCCAATGACAAGGATGTTGTTCTGCAGAGGCTTTTCATATCAGTGTAATGCTTCTTTGAAATGGAAACTCTTTATGCAAGCAGAACTTGATCTAGTAATTAAAAACTGTCATTAAAATAGGAAGTTTTTGATGAAGAGAATCGTGGGAAGAGATTTGATTTATTTATGGGAAAACCTGTTGTGGTTACATTCTGAAATGACTAGTATT